GCCTGAAATAAAATATAAAAAAGAGTTGAAACAAAAGGATAGAGATCGTTCACGATGACTCGGAGTTGTCAGAAAACAGAAGAACAGCGTGAAACCTCCAACCAGGCTGGTGCTGGTCCAGAAAGCTCCTGTCAGTGTCTGTGGATGGATGGATCCATGGTTCTACTAGAACCCAGTCTCTGGTCACATTTCACCAGCTGCTGAGGCTCTAACATCAGTAGAACCTGATGAGGTGAAGTTGGACCAGACAAGGTTCTGGTTTTACATATTTAGACCAAATGTTGGTAAGAACCAGAACCTGGAGTTCACAGGTTCTAGATGTTGGTTCTGGATGTGTAAAGGTACAAGCTGCTTCCATGTCGTCTTCATAGAGAGAAGACGAAGAACAACCTCATCTTCATCTATTTATCTTCATTTCCCGCCTTAATTCGGTCAAACATAGTTTTTGTCTCCAGTGAACACGTTGGAGGAATGAAAGGAGTGAAGCAGCTCAGACTGAGTCAGCAGGAGGAGACAAGGAAGGAGGCGAAGTAGAGGAGGACAGGAGAGGAAAGAAAAGGAGCGATCAGACGAGGAGACGAAGAGCAACAAAGGACGAGGAGGAGGTTAATGGGGAAGGAGGAAGAACAGAAACGTGGCTGGAAAGAGGAGACTGAGAGGATGTAAAGATCAGAGAGACGTGAGGAGGAAGGAAGGAAGGGTGGATGTATGGAAGGAAAAGGAGGATGAAAGAGAGGAGGAAACGAAGAGAGAGAGATGGAAAGACAGAAGAGGAAAAGGAAAATGGTGGACGGTCTTCATTCATGGACCTTCACTTCCTGTCAGGGTCGGGGTTCGGCTTTAGGACACGCTCAGAGATACCGCTGAAGTCAAATCGTTTCCAACCATATATATACACACATCACCAGATGATTAAAGGTTTCTCTGCTGGTTGACCAACGAAGGGTTTGGTTCACGAGTTTTAAATCAAATGTACGAAGAAGATCATCAGTCATCCTGAAACTCTGCATCTGAACATGTTCGTTAGTGTTTGTATGAACAAGGCCGACATCATGGAGGTAAACTCTGTCAGACCAGCAACGTGTGAGTCATTAAACGTCCAGTATTCACTGTAGTCTGTTTAACATGACTTTACTGCTCGGTATCATCCCTGACAGCACTCCTTCCTGTTCTGGTCCTACTTCCTGTGCATCATGTGGTTCTGTTGAACCGTCTCGTCTCCTTCATCTCACCGCTGCTGCTTTATCCTCACATTATGGTCATTTCTCCTGATCTCATCTAAACCGACAGAGATGGAAGAAGGTTTGATAGGAACAGAGAGAAATGATGCAACCTGAGCTGGAAGGAAGGACGAGAGAGGAAATACAGAAGAAGAAGAAGAATCCACAGGAGGAAGAATAATAGAGGAGGATATTCTCAGTGGGTCAAAGAGAAAGAGTCATCAGGAGGAATAACACACACACAGCAACACACACACACAGTAACACACACACACACACACACACACACACAGTAACGCACAGAACCATCTTCATTACCTGGACCGATGCAGAGCAGCTACACACACACCAAAATCAATAACTCTGCTGTACTGACACACACACACACACACACACACACACACACATACACAAACAATTACAAAGAAAAGAGTCACATCGGCATGGACACACACACACAGGGTTGTGTAGGAGGATATTCATTCATTAGTGTCAGTCAATAGGAGAGAACAGACAACCTGCAAAGACCTTGTGTAGCATGTACTGTGTGTGTGTGTGTGTGTGTGTGTGTGTGTGTGTGTGCAGCAGGAGGGACAATCTGATTAAATGACTGTGTGTATTGCTGTGTGTGTGATAGTCACAGAACAAGGTGAAGCAGCGTCACCTTGTTCTCCACTGGTTCTGGTTCTCTGAGGGTTTAAACGTTTCAGACGAATCTGATGTTTATGTTTATCTGATGTTTATACATTTATGTGTTGTTTATATATTTATGTGTTGTTTATGTTTATATATTTATGTGTTGTTTATGTTTATGTGTTGTTTACAGATGACCATGTTGTTGTTGTGCAGTAGAACCATCAGCTCACGGAGCAGATCTACAACCAGCAGGACACGCTGTGGAGGTGGAGGAACGTCTGAGCTCCTCTCTGCTCTGACTGGAGGTCCATACAGCAGACCAACACTGAACAGAAACTGTCCAGAACTGACAGATGGACCAACAGACACGCTGGTCCAACTGGGCTGTTTACTCTCAGAACATCCATCATCTCTACACCTTAATCCTCACTGGGGTCATGGGGGGCGGAGCCTATCCCAGCTGACTTAGGGTGAAGGCAGGTTCACCTGGACAGGTCACCAGTCTATCACAGGGCTACACTTAGAGACAGACAACCAAGCACACTCACATTCACACCTACGGACAATTTACAATCACCAATTAACCTCAGCATGTTTCTGGACTGTGGGAGGAAGCTGGAGAACCTGGAGAGAACCCACACTGCACAGGGAGAACATGGAGACTCCACGCAGAAAGATCCCGGGTGTCCTCAGCGGGACGCCAACCGGCGACCTTCTAGCTGTGAGGCGCTAACGGTGCTAACGGTGCTAACGGTGCTAACCACCGAGACACCTGCAGCCCCTCTCAGAACATAAATGATCAAAGCGTGTTTCTGGTCCTGCTATGATCCACGTTTCCTCCACAGACACCAAAGTTAAAGCAGAAAAGGAACCGACTTGTGAAGAAAATCAAACTGGAGCAACTTCGTTTATTAAACGTTTGTCAACTGAACTGATTAAGAACCAAACATTTAAGAAGTCGTTCAGATGATTGTGTTTAAACATTAAGACGTGTGTGTGGCTGAAAATCCTCCAACTTCCTGTTTGCTGGTTGAACAGAGTTCAGCAGAAACGGTGACGCAACTGTTGCCTTCGTTTGTGTTGAGACACCGTGTGTGTGTCTGCTGCTGCCGCGTGGCTCGGTTCTGAATGACAGTGGGTCGGGCTGCCGATACACAACACAGACACACAACACAGATACACAACATAGATACACAACGCAGACACACAACACACACAACACAGATACACAACACGAACACAACACAGACACACAACACAGATACACAACACACACACAACACGAACACAACACAACCACACAACACAGACACACAACACTAACACAACACAACCACACAACACAGACACACAACACAGATACACAACACAGACACACAACACAGATACACAACACTAACACAACACAGACACACAACAGTAACACACACCAGTCCAGCACACAGACCAACTAACTTTGCGTTCATTAAAATGCATGTTCCTCTTCAAAGCGCTGACGACAATGAAGCCATCTGCTGCTGTGTTGTGATGGCACGAGCACACACACACACTGACACACTGCAGACATGTGTAGAAATACCGACACACACACACACACACACACACACACACAAATCACAGACGCACAAACGTGACTTTAATTCACACGAGCTGAACTACAGTTTGGCTCTCGTGCACGTCGCAGCTCTGCAGGTAAATATCTTAGAGCTGCACACACACAGTAACACACAGAGTAACACACACACACACACACACACACACACACAGAGCAATACACACGGCAGGAGAAATTTCAGGCAATTTGCTTTCATCTTGGGGTCATTCCTACAAGCCCAAACGTCCCTTTTAAAAGCAAACGCTCCTCTTCTCCTCTAAGTGCGTCGCACAAAGGGCCCATTTCAAAGGCAAATTCCACTTAGATTCACAAGTGCTGTGTGTACTCTGGTACTCCAGGCAGAAATTCATCAAAGCTTAATGTTCCCTTCACAGAAAATCACTTAGCGCACAAGCTAGCCGCCCGCGTGTGTGTATGTGTGTGTGAGTGTGTGTGTGTGTGTGTGTGTCTGCAGCGTCTCCATGTTGTTTGATGGCAGCTTAAAGGGCCAGAGAGTCGCTGCAGCGCCGGCGTGCACTGCCAGGCTTCTGTTGGGACGCTCACGCTGATCAGACGAGCTTCACCAGGAGCCTCAGACCGAACTAAACGAGAGGCCGCAGCTGCAGCGAGTACAAACGTGTCGGGTACAGACTGGAGGTGGCTTCTGGTTTGTTTTTAGCAGAACGGAGCAAAGGGATCAACCGTCTGGTCCCAAACGTCTCAGCTCGGCCTTACTATTAGAACTATTTAAACTCAAAGAAACACCAGCCGAGAGTCAACAGGTAATGTTATCAAAGTAGTTTCAGACAGAAGAAGGAAGCTCAGGTAAACATGATCTGTAGCAGCGTGTTCAATACTACAGCTGGTTGAATAGAAGGTAAAGACACAGCTGGAGGGATTCCAGGCTGCTATATGCCACATATGTACATATAAATAGATATATACACACCCTAATGTGTGATCATGTGAATATTTTCAGGTCCTGAGTGTGAGTTTTTCCATCCATCCATTCATATCTGTTGTGATGTTTTAAACTAAGAGAGGCCAAATGCATGGATGTGAACAAATGACTGAGAAGAATAAAAAAAACAAGTTGTGCAAGTTGCTGTAAATAACTACTAAAGAACCAAGTCAGTGATCTGTCTGTAATATGAATAGATGATATTTTTATGGCAGACATTTTGTCTTGAGCGCTTATTAATGGTTGAGAGTCATCAAAGAAGCAACAAGAAGATGAGGAGGTCCTATGAGGACACACACCTCCTACATGAATGAACAACAAGGTCTTCTCCTGCCTACATGAACACACAGGGAGACCAATTCATGGCAGTTATATATATATATACATATATATCAATCAAACTTTGTGTCTTTGAGGTCCTGACTCTGAGTCTTTACTTCTATCGTCCATCCAGCTCTCACATGTTTCTCGGTTGCTAAATCCTTTCTTTAAGTAGCAGAGTGAACTATATGATGAGAAACAACCAGAGGTAGCAGTGTGACGGCTCACACCGCCAACATCGACGGTTCTTTAAGAACTAACGAAGAACGAAGCCAGTAAAAGGTTCGCTGTGAAGTAAACCTGGGATTCTGACGGTTCTTGAGCTCCTACCTTTGACGGACGTGTTGGGCGGCGGTCCCTCGATGCGAAGGTTCCACGGCGGGTCTCCCTGGTTGGCGAAGTCCCTCATCTTCAGGTAGCTGATGGTGAGCCGGATGATGGAGGCCTTGTCCAGCTGGCTGGTGATGGCGCCCGGCAGCGGCAGCATCTTGGCCAGCTCATAAAACTCAAAGTTCTCTTTTCCCCGCCGCGACCTCGCCGCATCCCGAGACTTCTCCTTCCTCAGAGCCTGCAGCCTGCATGGAAGACACAGAGTAATCTGATTACTATGTGATGCTCAGTAGACACAAGACAACATGTGAGTGACATTACCTCCACGCTATGTTAGCCATGGACAACAGCTTCTGTCATGACCAAAGTCATGGAGTCTCCAGCGACTCCTGGAGCTCTGGATGTGCTCTGATGGAACCACTGAAACACGAATCTTGGTTCTTTCATAGATTTATTAAAGATCTTCTGGAAATAGGATAAAATCTGAGGTTTCCATCAGAGAACATCCAGAGATGAGATGGAGACTCAGGCCACGTTCACACGTAGCCGGTATTCACAAAAACGGATCTACGTTTTCAAAAATAACATCGTTCTCACCAGATCGTTTTCAAAAACACCTTCGTTTACACAAACCCGTATAAACACGTGGTTAAGAGCTGCTATGAGCTGCCAGACCTACAGGGGGCAGTGTAACGTGAAGCATAAAGCCATGCTAGCCCATCAGAATCCTGGAACAGACACAACAACGGAAATTTCTTGTTACTTCAACGATAATGGGGTCGTTTGTTTGGACCGACAGAGACGTGGAGCTGCTGCTACATGTGCTGTCAGAGACACAACAAGGAAACACTGACTGTAAACATGTCAGTCCATATATGGACGTAGCCAAACTGTAAACATGTAAACATGGTTGCACACACACCGTAAACGGTCTGCACTTATATAGTGCTTATATGGCGGTTTTACCCAAAGTGCTTTTGTTTCTCATTCACCCATTCACACACATTCATCCACCAATGGCGACAGAGCTGCCATGCAAGCTGCTGCCTGCCATCGGGAGCAACTTCAGTGTCTTTCCCAAAGACACTGAACCTGGAGGGGATCGAACTGGAGGACAACCGGCTCTACCACCTGAGCCACAGCCATGTGACGCTGACGTCGCTTTACTGTGACATCAGACTCCGCCTCCTCCTGTCTACATGCAAACGTATAGACGTTGACGTGTAAACCAAAGGCCCGTTGAGATATCACCGTTCAGCTGCGAGCCAACGGGCCTCAGAGACGATGAACCTGGTCGTCACAGTGGACGGACGCTCGTGTTCATGACTGTACACGTCTCCAGGTCTAACTCGGACAGACTCGACTGAGCTACGTCATGTCTCTCCGACACCACCGGGCTGCTCTCCTCCTCTCTACTCCATGACTTTGTTTCCTGCGTCTCTTTCCACTCTATTACTTTATATCAGGGAGCTGCTCTGTTTATTCTCAGCCTTCAGCAGCGGCGGTGACGAGCAGACTTTCCCGCGGCCTCTCATCATCATCGGACGCCGTTATGAATTAACTCGGCAATAAATCAGCTGCTAAAAACCTCTGTGGGCTTCCTGCCGGCCACACACACACACACACACANCACACACACACACACACACACACACACACACACACACACACACACACACAGCGAGACAGGTGATTAATTTTTGCCTGAGTAAAAAAAAAAAAAGAAGAAGTGAGAGTGTTGGAGGATGTAAAGAGAGGATGATGGAGGGACACTTTAGAGGAGGAGGAGTTGTTTAGGGCTGCACATGACAAATGGCTGTCATCTGGCCAACGCTATCATTTTCATACTGTTTGTCGTTTATTTATCAGCGAGAACAAACAGCGAATGGAGACGAGTCCAGCGTGTTCGTTCCTCCTCTTACGTAACCGCGTCCTTCCCTAACGCTGCATTTCACTGATTTTCTCTCCAGGCTTTTTCTCAGCTTCTAAACATTTCTGGACCTCGGTGTGAGTTCTGGAGGTGAAGTCCAGGAACGTTTCCACATTCTGCAGCAGAACGTCGTGTTTATTGAAGAAGCGTCTACATGTGAAAGTCCTGCATTTAAATAAGAGCCGAACGTGGAGGTGTTTATGATGCACAGCGGCTCGTTTCATTATTATACATATTATTAGATTACTGATAAATTAATGCGTTAATCACTTTAATGTTGCATCTGGAGCTCGTTTGAAATGACTTTATATTGTGCTGGGCAGCTTCACTGACACGTTAAACATCATTTATGTGTTTTATATTAATAATGTGAAACTGCAAAAAGCTTTAAAACAAATGAGGACGAGTATAAACAATAAACGAGGTAGTGAGCAGGACCTTCAGCAGCATGGAGCTGGTCATCTCCTCCCTGAACAACAGCTCACAGGTCAGACCTGATGGAACAATCCTGACAGGTTAGTGATGCTCCTTTAAAGATCTTCTGGAGTTTAGTGCATTAGTTCTCTGCTGATGTGACCTCCAGCTGGTTCCTCTTGTTGTTCTGCTGATGTGGAAGCAGCACTAACATCACACCGGCTGATGTTTATTCTTATTTTAATTCTGCTTTGGTTCATTGTGAACATTTTCAGCAGCTTCATAACTCCAATAAAATAAAAACTTGTGTGTCTCATACGTCGGTAGTGACGGTCGTCTGAAACGTAAACCGCCATTAAATTAAAGAAACTCTAAATGACTTCCAGCTGTTTGTTCATCGTTTGCAGTCAGTCCAGTCGTACAGGCCGTTGCCTGAACGTTGCAGCGCTGCATTGTGGGAACCTGCACATCTTCTCCTCTGCATCACTACATCCAGGTGTTAAACTGCAGGTTTTCATTTGAGCCAAAGCTTCCAATAAAGAACAAGACTGAAGGTTTAAATGTTCATATGAACATCCTGCAATATGATTTATTGAAGAAATCTACCGGACAAGTTGAAATGTTCACGTAGGATCCCATAAATGTCTACATATACGACTTCAGGAACACAGGTAAGGTTAGGACCACACTATATTATTTAATATAAACATTTACTGGACTGATTTAAATGTTGTGTTTCAGAACCTGCAGTGTTAGAACTTATTCACATTATCATGGAAACCCAGCAGACAAATCCTCCGTCAGCCAAAGGACCCAAACTTCACTGGTTCCTGGTTGTCAATAGGATTGTAGGTTCTTAAGTTAGTAAAATACATTCCTTTATTTAAATATGTTTTGGGTTCTTAAACATAAAATCAGCTGTTTGGGCTCTGAAAGGTCAGAAAATAGTAAAACAAAGGTCTGGTTTAGTCCAGAGATCCTCAGCTTGGTGTCGCAGAGGAAAGAAGTTTTTAAGGAGTTTTAATTTTAAAAATTGCTTCAATTGATCAAACAACAACTAAATGAGCTGCTAATAGCTGATGATCAATAACGAGGGCTTTCAGAAACTGGACTTTAATAGACGCTGTTGGTAAATGTCTCCATCTGAAGCTCTGATCAGCTATAAGCTGATAAAGAACCATCTGAACCAGTCACAGACATATTGATCACTGATCAATCAGTTTAGGAGCCTTCAATAAAAACTTTCTCAACACTGTTCACCATTTTAGAGACCCAACAGCTGATTGGTTCATCCAGAAAGTGATCAGCAGAATACCATGAAGACAGTCGCACATCAGCTGCAGCTCTCATGGAGGATTTCACTTTTTATTCGTCTTGTGGAGTTAAAACGGTTCAACCTGCAGACAGCAGCTGTCACTGATCGGACGTTTTCAAGAGTTAAACCTGAGCGACAGCAGCAGCTTCAGCGTCTGGAGCGCTGAGTTACTGCTCGCCACCGAGCTGCGTTTCCAGCTGTGTTTCCTGTGTTTCCAGGCCGTGTTTCCTGCGTTTCCAGGCCGTGTTTCCTGCATTTCCAGGCCGTGTTTCCTGCATTTCCAGGCGTGTTTCCTGCGTTTCCAGGCTGTGTTTCCTGCGTTTCCAGGCTGTGTTTCCTGCGTTTCCAGACCATGTTTTCTGCGTGTCGCCGGGTCGGCTGCTGCCAGAGCAGAGCAGCAGACGGAATTTATTTGTTCCGCAAACTTGGAGCGCATTATGTTGACGGACGACAAATACGTCTTCATGTCTGTCTGGCGGAGCGCCGGCGGCCCGGAGGCGTGTTTGACCTTGACTCCGGCAGACATATTTATCATGTAGCGCCTCAGCAGGTAAACGCGACACTTGTTGTGATCGCTGCGCACGTGTGAGCGTGTGCGTCGCCGCGTATAAACACGGAATGAAAGCGTGTCGTAAAGTTCAGCCGGGTGACTTGATGGTGTTTTAAAGAGCTTGTCAGTGTGTGTGTGTGTGCGTCGTAAAGTTCAGCGAGCTGGTCGATGGCTTTTTAAAGAGCCTGTCAGCCCACCGGAGGAGTGTGTGTGTCTGTGTGTGTGAGAGCAGAGAGCATGCTGGGAAGGTCGCAGGTTTAACTTCCAGGTCAGTCGGAGGAGGAGACGCCATCAGTCATGTGACGGACGACGAGGCGGATCCCTGAGACGCTGCGAGGCCCCGTCCAGATGTGTGACGACGTCGTCCCTCCGTGATCGGGTTTCTTCGTTTATCATTAACGCTCAGGAGGCAGTTTGTGCTTCATTCATCCACTTTAAACAGCACTGAGCCAGAGCTTGTGATGAAACGTGCAGCCGGCGGTTTGAATGTTGACTGAAGCGTCTGCTGAACGTCCTTCTGCTGGAATCTTAACGTTTACTTCTGTTGTTTTCACTGTTTGTTGATTTGGTGCAGGATTTGAATGTCAGTGTTTCACCATTTTTATGTCTTTTTTTCTGCAACTCGCTGCCAAATTTTAAGGAATTTATGTTTTGGGTTTTTTTGCAATGTAGAGAGAATAAATAGGTCTAACAGGTAAAGCAGAGCGAGGACAGGACAGGTGCTCATCGTCTACTGGAGTGGACGTCTTTGTGTGGACAGGCTGACTGTGAACACTGCTGGCTTCAGGCTCTGCAGTAACACGGATGTGACATGATCTACTGGTCATGAACGCTTCAGGCTTTCTGCATGGGACCACTCAGCTCTCTGTTAGCTGCTCCGTTAACATGGAGACTCCACACAGAAAGATCCCGGGTGTCCTCACCGGGACACCAACTGGCGACCTTCTAGCTGTGAGGCGCTAACGGTGCTAACCACTGAGATACCTGCAGCCCCACCACAAACATCTGTAGAGAAATGAAGAAACTGCACCAAGAC